GTTGAAAGTCATCCCTTCCAGCCTTGATAATAGAGTTGGAGTACATTCTGAGGCTTAGCTGGGTACGACCATGAGGCTCAAGGAGCTTTCTCAGGATAAGGTATCTCTGCTATCACAAGTGAGTGGATTCTTTGATAGGAGTTACTTTAAAAGGAAATTGAGCACTAGATGGAGAAAGTATCTTAGGTTTGTACAGATGTGTTGAAAGTCATCCCTTCCAGCCTTGATAATAGAGTTGGAGTACATTCTGAGGCTTAGCTGGGTACGACCATGAGGCTCAAGGAGCTTTCTCAGGATAAGGTATCTCTGCTATCACAAGTGAGTGGATTCTTTGGTTTCTGAATTAACTGAGCTGCAGTCACCTTCCTTTTGGGTCTTGCAGCAGTATGGTAGGTCAGCGTGGGCACTGGCTGCCTCTAGAGCTCATGGATCTCTGCTCTATTGTAAACATTGCTACTTGATCCTTCTTTTCTTTTAGGATAGTATCTTTCTTTCGTTCTCTGCTGTAATTTGTCACAGGCTTCTCAGAGTTGACTGTACACAGAATCTAACAGTCTGCTTGTCACCTCTGAAGCCTGTTGTCGTCTTCTGAGGTCCTTCATTGGCACAGCACAACAAAGGCATTTACATTTGGAGTCAGTGTGCATGTCTGTCTTTTACCTTGATAGCATATGTATCTAGTGTGTCTATGTTTTGAGTATAAATAAGAAGTTAAACCGGATGATACTCTTTAGGGTGCATTGCATGTGTATGAGAATCGGAGGCATTTCAGTGCCTAAAAATAATTTCAGAAGTATTAGTTAAACAAAAATATTCTCTGAGGATCTTGGAATATATGAGGGTGAGATTTAGCTTGGACATAGATATGAAAAGAATTCATTAAAAAAATTAAATGGAGTACTTCATCTGAACTCCCCATTTCATGGCATGAAACAAGCTCTTAGTAATAGTTTATTATATAACTGCATGCTCTTTTTTTTGTTGTTGTTGTTTTTGTTGGGTTTTTTTGTAAACTGTCAGTATTATCCAATATAGGAGAGACAATCATGGTTGTGGGCATTCATATGGTCAGCGCTATGTATTTAGTTTTATTTTAGGAAGTGTTTCCCGAGAGACTTCATGTAGGTGGCACTTGTCGTTACTACTAGCATTTTGAGCCTTACTACTATTAATCCTCCTCTGATAAAGATTAGAAAGCAAGTTACTTAAAATGATAGTTCTCGCTGGCATTTGGTTTCCCCTTAATCTGTATATTGCTAGACCAAGGAGAGCTGAGATGCTGCGAGTACTGGCAATGTGTTCACAAAACAGTAACCGCTGCTGTCTGTGCACAGTTGGCTTTGTTAGGATTTACTGCTTGCATCTCTCATATATTTGTATTCAGTGAGCCGTTGCAAGTGCTTACATTTAAAGAATTATGTTTCAAGATACCATTTAAGTGTTTCTTAATCTACATGTTATACTGTACATGATAAATACAAGGAAGGCACTGGAGATTTAAGAGGGTGAGAATTTTGAGTCTATCGCTTGAGCTTCAACTTAGTAATGCAAATCTGGCTTTAAGTGACCTCATTGATGTTTGCTCAAAGTAGCTTCCTTTTGGTACAAATGACTGAGCTTTGTTGCAGCTATTGTACAGGTAATGTAATGTCCCTTTAGAGATTGCCTTTGTATCCCTGATGCAACCTCTCTTTGCTTTAACAGAGTGCCTGCAGAAATGCCTGGAGCTAAGATAAATTGTGTTGGTGTGCCTCATTTGATCATCTGTCAGCAAAAACGCGAGAGGATAGGGCAAGGAAAAGCATGAACCCCTTGCTCTGTCCCAGCTCGTGACAATTTGAGGGTTTGGCTACGGGTGAATGACAATTCAAGTGGAGAGTTTGATACGAGAGAAGGACACAACAGCGTGTCTGAAAGGGTCCTGACCACTTCTGTGACTTCACCTTGAAGAGAGGTGGCAAGCAACTGTTGCAAGTTTAGGGTGCCAGAGGGTGGCAGGATTTTGAGCAGTAGTAGTAGAGTGGTGCAAGTAGTGCTAAGCATCCGTGTCTCGAGGAGATAGTATTGTACAATAAACAGTGCCATCTTCTGGGAGGAGTCGGAACGATGACCTTGTGGTCAGCGTTAAAGGTGTTTTTTAAAGTGATTTGGTTGGGGGTTTTTCTTCTCTATAGTAAATGCTTTGAAAAACAAAATGTCAGAAGTTGCACATCTGTGTTAATGCAAGTCCACATCTTACATCTCTGGTTTATTATTGATACAGTCTTTAGAGAAAAGCTGTAAGCTGTGTTTTGGGGTCTGTTTAACAGAAGAAAGGTTTATCAGCTGCTAAGCCAGTTGTCCAGAGAAGTAAATCTCAAAAATAAAAGTTCAGGATTTTGTCTTTTGTTTGCTGAAGTCCATTGTTATTTTTATAAACATATTTTGTAAAACCTAGATAATCTTTTCTTATAGAAATCTTTTCTTATAGAAAGCAGAGTTGACCTATGGGAAAACGTTAAAGATCCAAAGTAAGAATGATTACTTGGACTTATAACTCCTTTTGGGGGGGGCATGTCAGATGGGAAAAATGCTTCTGTCTTAAAATTATTATCCTGTAAATAGTTAAGTTAGGAAGTATTCACTGTGGTGCAAAATCTGAGATTAGAGTTACTAAAATTACCCCAGCAAGTGGAATGTAAGATTCAGCATTTATTGAGACTCATTAATGGTTTAGATCAATCACCTGAAGTCTTATTTGTAGGAAGTGAGCAATTTTAGTAACATTAATGGAACTATATGGGAGATGCTGCTGACACTGTGAGGAGGTTTTCTTGTTACACACTTTCAAATAAATAAATAAATAAATGAGCCCAAACAAAAAGCCAGTAACAAAGTGTAACTGTTACAGGGGGAGGGGAAAAGATGAATTAGTGTGTAAAAAAAAAATTTGTTATTGCTAAAATAAATTATATGAAGTATATCCAGAATGACAAGAATTTGTGAGCTCTGGACAGGCAGATAGATTTGGAATTGGTTTTATTGTGTCATGATTGTCTATGTAATTTACCAGCAAAGATGCAATGGAATAATAGTTTCTTAAAAAAAGAAGGTGAAATTATTTTGCATGTAAATTGTTAGTCTGTTCTGAGAATGTCTTATTAAGCTTGCTAGAATTGGTACATTTTGTATTCCAGAGGGTCTCATTTCAATGACTATGGAGCCTGAGGTTTCTGGATAGTACAGTACTTAATTGTACAATTAATTTGTAGTTAAAATGGTAAATGAATGTGTATTTTCATTTTCAATATTAGTGTTAGCTTGGTTTGTCATACAGTATTTAGTATATAAAGAACTTTCAGTATATTCTGCATGTTTAACAGCAACATAAATTATTACTGTGGTAATCTTGGTGTTTATGCAAGTCCTCAGTATTACAGTTATACTTTTTATTTTCTGACATCTGAAATGAATGTAGTGTTGACCCGCCTTACCGTGTTGATTTTCAGTTGTCGATAAAAATAATCTGTTAAAAGTTTCCATTGCAAGGGGTGGTGGCCCTTGAGCATACCTCACACTAAGTACTGTATTTGCTTAGATAAAATTTTTTAACTAATTTTGTCCTGTAAGATAGTAAATTACTTATCCATGAAGTATGTATCACAGTATTTTGCTGCTAGCTAGCTTGAAAATATATTTCCCCATACCTTTGGAACACTGTGTGTTAACTCGTAACTACTTTGAAATGGTGTTTGTCTAGTGCAGTGCTGAAGTTATTTAATAGATTTTTTTTTATTAGTGCTGATTGCTATTCTTTGTGGGTTTTTATTCTATTCTTTTTGTAATCACTCATGCTCCTGGAAGCCCTAGTTCAAACCATCTGTAAGAGCTGTAGTTTGACAGGTGAACAACTCTCTCTGAAATCAGACTTAGGGGTTTTCAGAGAGCATAGCATGGTATGTTATTATCCAGGTTCTTATTAGCTTGGAAAATGCTGTTCCAAATATCTGGGAAATATTGTGTGAATAATTAAGTTAAAATGTAAGAAATCCAGTTTAGCAAAGAAAGAATGCAGTGCAGCTGACAGTGAAGCACCCCTTTTCTTCATCAGAGATTTCAGCAGTGGCTTTCAATACAAGAAGCAAGGTGCTAACTTAACATTAAAGTAGATGTTGACCATCTCTCTTGGGTTTCCTATATAATAATCTTGTTTTCTGCTTGATAGGGTATAGACTAAACAAAAGGTAGTATTTCTGGAAAGACAGATCAGAAAATATCTGGTCTTAAAGCTGAAATTATACTACTAGAAATGCTTTTGTTAATAATTGGAAAAGTGAGCCTTTTTTTTACTGAACACTACTTCATACTTACGGAAGCTGCAGGATACCAGTGGAGTAGATAACTTTCAGGGAAGTAATTCATATTGAAGCAAAACAAAGAATAATGTTTGCTGTGTAAATTGTAGTTATATCCTCATCAGAATATGTCTACATGTGCCAAAAGTAGGAATTCAGCCTTAATGGCAGTTGTCAGTGTCCTGTTTAGAAAACTACTCAAAGCTGGTTTACTTTTTGTTTGCCCCACCTACCCCTAGAAGTCGGTATCAACTAGTTGACACTGCAAGTTACAATAGATTGCAGTGCTTAAAGTTTGTGATGTCTGTTCTTCCTCTGGCCCAGTAATAGATTTTTTTTAAAAATGCATTTAGGAGTATGCAAAAATGTATTTAAGAAAAAATTTCCTTAAACAATTTCTATCAAACTGAACGTACACTTTACCCTATTTTTCTAATTTATGTTATGATCCATTGCCAAAACTCTTAAGGTGTTTGTCAGCACCACTTAATGATAGTAAACAGGCAACTTGCACTTAATTTTGAGGAAAAGTTGGCAAAGCTTGCTGGTTTTGTGACTGATGGTAAGCAGGTATTTTGCTTGGTTAAAACTTGAAGGCATTTTACTCTAGGTCTGTGCGCTAGTGAATCCGTAAGTCTGACTTTCTTCCCATCTTTTCATATGCAGGCAGAAGGAGAAGACAGCCTTAAAAAGATGCAGCTGATGGAGCTTGCAATTCTGAATGGCACCTACAGAGATGCCAACATCAAATCACGTAAGCATGTCATAAGCTCGAGGGTCAATGCCGTAGTCCTGTTTGCAGGTTTTTATTCTTAAAGCTACCTTTTGGAAAAAGATCTTTTGGGGGATAAGTGAGGTCAGTTTGAGGGGTTTTTACGTTTGTTCCTTTGCCCTTTTTATTACAATGTGTTCAGGTTGAAATAGTCACAAATAATACATAGTTTTTAAAACCTCAACCCTTAAGACAGAATTTTCTATTTTGCAATCATTTTTTCCTTAATGCATAGAAAGGACAATAGACTCCTTTTCAATTTTATTTTGAGTGATTTAACTTTGAAATGTTACAGATGTTCAGGATACTGTGATTACATTTTTCTGTATTATATTCCTTCCTTTCATCTTGCTTGCATGTGTACCCCCCAATGTTATGTTTTACCAACAATTCATCAACTGATTTCACAGCTGAGTTCACAGGGATCAGTGATGTAATGAGCCATTTTTGCGATTACTTCCGTTACATTTGTGTGAAAATGCTTTTGCAAACGCATGTATGCACAAGTTTACACTTGAAAATTAATTACACGCACCTACTAATGAAAGCATATACCTCTTATGTGTGATGCAAATTATATTCTCTAGTTGAAAATCTCATTCCTCCTCATGAAAATATAGTTGCTGATACTGTTCCAAAGTAAATTTTTGCTGTAGCTGTGATACAGATGTCAAATGCAAGCACAGTTAAATCAGTCTTTTCACTGAGGGCCTACTGATATTTGCAAATTTGTTTCTCCACAAAGTCACCATTGCAGTGTTGAATATGTTTAAAGGTTGGAATGCAGTTAGGTCAATTTGAGAGTGCTTACACCAGTGTAATTATTCTGATTTGAAAAGAGACATAAGCAAGGGCTTTTACCACTACAATGGTAATGGTAAATCTTTCAGCCCTAATGAACTCTGTAATATTGGAAGCTGGATCAGTTTAAAATGATTTTAGTCTCTAAATTATTGCAAATTTATGAGTAAATTAGCTTTCAGAATAGTTTAAATTGATGCAAACTGTTGCATAGAAATCTTTTATTAATTTGAGCAATTTCTTTGTCTGATCTGTTCCCATTGGTCTTGTATCAGTGCAAGTGGAAAGATGGAATTATTTATGTGGTTTTTTTGCTATAAATTTTGACACTAATACTCATTTTTTTATAATAGTAAAGTTTGACTGTTTTTTGATTTTACTGAAAAGCTGAAGATGTAGAAGCCATACTGGTTTATTTCTGTTCAAGAAAGGAAATATAAATGTTTGAAGTTTTTTTTTTTTTTTAAATTTTCTTTTGGGTTTTTTTTTTAAAAAAAAAAAAAAAACAGCTAGAAAAGTGACAGTCTCAAATTTGAAAAACTTTGCCACATTTCTCTTTTCAGGTTATCTTTAAGTTAATTAAATCCATGTAGATCAACAGTAGTGCATGGAAATCCATAAATTATAACCCCTTAAGATTGACTGTTACCAGCAGATGTGTTAAAGTTTTTCATCTGCTGTGCCAACAGGCTTCAAATAACACTAAATGGAATGTGCTAGCACCACTTAAAAATCCAAAACCAAACTTAAAAAAAGCACCTATTTTCTTTAACCTAATCAAGGCCATAGTGAGCTTCCAATACAAAGGAAGTATTTTGCGAAATTTGATACGGAAATCACATTTCAGTCTCTTTTTTTCATGCTAGAGTAGGAGAGGAGAGCTTTGTGTTTCTAGGTCATCTTTAACTTCACTGATCCTGGAAATTGGAACTGTGTATACATTGAAATGCAATTTTAAGATCTATAAGAACTGTAGACTCGTACAGCAGCTCTGCATAACTGAGTGTCTGTGGACTCTATAAATGCACTAAATTTTGTACTCTGTATTTGATTGTGACAGTATTTTCCTTGTATCTCCTGCATGCATCTCAGTCTCATGCAGTCTTGATAGCATAAATGAAGAAATGTGGTGTAAATGGAGCTTTCGTGCTGTGTAACCTGTTTGAGAAATCTACCTCACTGTTTTACAATGGCTTTTTTATTTTGCATGTTCATACTTAATCACACTGGAAAATGGAAAGCTGTTTGCATTTGAATGGTGTGCTTTGGCACTGTGTGATCAGCGCATGTACTAATGATTTCCTTTTATTTTTCTTCTTTCCTACTTTTTCCCTTTTTTCCCATTCTTTCCACGTTTTGTACTGCTATCTCCATACTTTTCTCTGAATTTCTTTGCTTACTGTAGCAGCCCTTGCCTTTTCTCTTGCAGCAACAGCCCAGGCTCCAAGGATTATTACTGGGCCTGCGCCTGTTCTCCCACCAGCTGCCCTGCGTACTCCTACGCCAGCTGGCCCTACCATAATGCCTTTGATCAGACAAATACAAACCGCTGTCATGCCAAACGGAACTCCTCATCCCACCGCTGCAATAGTTCCACCTGGACCCGAAGCCGGTTTAATTTACACACCATATGAATACCCCTACACACTGGCACCAGCTACATCAATCCTTGAGTATCCTATTGAACCTAGTGGTGTATTAGGTAAGATCTTTGTATGTGGATGACTGGAGAATGTATTGCTTATGCTTATGCAAACTTCATGGTGTTTGCAAGGTAGAGGTCACGGAGCTCAAAAAAAGTTTGATGCAACAAACTTATCTCAGGTATATCAAAACTGCCTAGAAGAACTGTTCAAATGGTGTAACTCAAACATTTCAAACATGTTTTGCGTTCTTGAATGTGTGTGCTTAGTTATATTAGTAGGATTATGGAACGTAAAATCTGAGTGTTTGTATAACATTAGATGTTGAATACAAAGGCAAGGATAAAAAAACCCTAAATAGAAGTTGACATGTATTACATGTCATTTGGACTCCAAAAAATGAGAGATTTGTTTGTATTCTCTTTAACATAAATTAATGTCCAACAATCTTTGGAAGAGAGAACTCCCTATTTTGCTATATCATTTTAGTAGCAAAACTGGAGGGAGTGGAAAGGTCTTTTTTCAGTTGGAGTTTTTGCTTATTTATTTAGTACGCAACTGATAAATCTCTCCTCAGTGTCAGAAAGCTCTAAATCATTTTGAGAGTAGAAAATAATTTCAGTGAATGAATATAAAGCGATCCAAGTTCTGACCGAAGGATGATAAAATTAGCAACTTCAGTGATGGGGTTTTTTATATGCATTGCATTGAAATGTCCATCATTCCTAATATTTCAAACCACTGACTTGCTGTGTGAAGGCAGAAATGATAAAGCAGCCGTGACAATTCAGTTAACTGGTCAATATGGAAAAAGCAGTTCCAATAGTTCCTT